AAACAGTGAGTTTTACGTAACTGTGTGTGCTTTTTACCTCACCTGTATATAAAATGCTAGAAATAGACTTGCATGCAAGGATCTCTTATTAAGTAATGAACCTTTATTAACGGTTATTTGAATGACTTTAAAATATATGGTTTGGAATATATGATTTTATTAAAAGGTTTGGCAAGTTAATTAATTATAATTAAAAAAAAGTTATAGTTTATTGTACATGGTAATTGCTTTTTCCTGGGGTAAAGTCAGTGAAGCAAAATAGGGGTCGACTTGTTACCACAGGATGAATTAAGAATTTTTATCTCAAAATCCTAATTATCTTGTTTTACAGATTCACCAAAGGTCTACAATGCCTTGGTGTACTTGACAGGATTAGAAATTATCCTGATGCCATGAGAGGACTCTTTGTCCATAAAAGCGACCTTCTTCTTGATGCAGTGGAAATGGACAACATGTTCCTTGTTGAGTTCTCTGAGGAAGGCAGTAACAAGTATATAAATGAATCAAGAATACAGACTTACTGGAGAGATTATTTAGTTGAAATAGAAGGTATTTATTGTAAATGATGGGAATAGGATCCAGACTTTTTAGCTCACCTAAACTGAAGGTTCAAGGTAGCTTTTCTGATCACCTGTTGTCCATCTGTCCGTCTGTCTGTCTATAAACTTTTCACATTTTTGACTTCTTCTCTAAATACAAGAACCACTGGGCCAAATGTAACCAAACTTGGTACAAAGCATCCTTATGGGAAGGGAATTCTAAATTGTTAAAATAAAGGGTTAAACCTTTTCAAAATGGAGATATATAATCACAAAACAGTGAAAATAAGGTGTGTGTCTTTAAAAATCTTTTTCTCAAGAACCACTGCATCAGAAATGCCAATAATTTATACCAAAGCTTGAACATGTTTATATAGTGAAGATTCTTATTTGTTAAAACCATGACCCCCAAAACAATACAGGGACCCAAAAGATAACAAGATGGGTCAGTTGTGGTCAAAATTAAAAAAAAATGTTTGTTTGCCCTTTTCCGACCCAGATTTTTAATGATGGGTAGGTAGGTAGAAAAAAATATTTTATTTTTTCTTCTTAAAATTATAACAAGAAGCATAAGGGTCACAATGCTCGACTGTGTCATTTTGCTTAATTGCTGCTCTTCAGAAGGTTGTTTTTGAAAAATCTTCCTTCTACATTCCCGTGAAAGATTGTGGGTCCAAGTCTCATGACATAATCAGACTTTAATCTTCGATCATTACATGAAGATTCTGAATATCAGTATGACTAATGTGGCCTTGCTATTCTTAAGGAAAAATGTTCAGCGATTTTATTATTATATTATTATTATATAAATAATAATTATTATAATACATGCATTAATATTATATTATTATTATGTAAAATTAATCCCCAATTTTAACCCCAACCTAACCCTAGTGTCCCTCTTTGAGCAAACTTGAATCCTCAGAACATGTAGATTTCACACCCTAAATTCTCACCTTTGCGTGCAGTAAATATCCAAGGCGGCAAGGGCTGTATGCACTGAATGAACAAAAAAGCTAGTCTAGGATTACCACAGATTTAGAAAATTATATTTATTTTTAATGCTACTAATCAAAGCATCTAAAAGACCTCAACAAAGTTTTTAAATGGGTTAAAACAAATTAGGTTGAAATGATTCAATAAAAAATTGTAAATGTAAAAAGCAATAAAATATTTTGAGTCGGGCCGATTTTTGTGGGTCGGTTGGCTAAGGGCAAACAAACAATATTTTAATATAGGCCTGATGCATCTTTGATCTTGGGATATTGATGTCCAAAAAAGTAGGCTTCTTTTTATACATTGTTTTTATGTATTGTCACTTGGAATATATTTGAGAATTTTGGTGAGTTTAACAGTCTTTTAGAAGAGTTTCATGTTTATAAATTTCGACAGAGATACAAGAATTGTTGTTCAGCTGCGATGTGGCCCATGGGCCTCTTGTTTAAGATTGTATGCATATATCTGTGAACGATTATGGGTTCTCAACACCTTTAGGAAATGTATTCAAATCAGCACAACTGAGATTTTACCTTGAAGATGTATGCATGTCAAGCATTTATCTTCAGAAATGAAAAAGTACTAGGAAAATAGCAATTCGGGATTCTAAAATGATCATCAAAGACCCTTTTATTCAAGTAATCACATATCCATTCTGAATTAATTCAAACTCTGGATCTGTAAGTCAGTTAAGTATTATAAATGTCATTTCCATTGAGCTATAAAATTATACCTGAAACAAATAATTTCACAAGATGATGAAGTGCCCATTGTAGGGTGACATCTTAAAAAATAAAATTCACAGGTTTTTATAGGACCTTTATTGTGGAATGTCAAAGGATAATATTTTCATGAATATCTAAATTATCACATACCGGTACTTTCAAAGATTTTTACTAATAATATAAAATTAAGGTGCATTTTAGCTTACTTTGCACATATATGTATATATGCATGAATTGCTATTAGTAAACCAAATTATCAAAAGTTGACTATTGCTATTTTAAAACCTATAGTTTTTATTTGTAGATACGCCCGACAAATTCAAATCTATCTTGGCTTTTGTCACTGGGTTGGATTCAGTTCCACCTTTGGGGTTTTCTCCACCACTCAAATTAAAGTTTCGTCATCCAGAAGCAGAAGAAAATTTCAGTGTGTTTGCTACCCCTTATGCAAACACGTTCCAACACTCTGAGCATTCCTGTCACCGAAACATACAGTGCGTTCAAAGAAGTCATGGACAATGCACTAGATTTGGGTTGTTTATTTACTGATTATTGAGAAATGTTAGGTGGTGTATATATATCCATGTGTTTAACTCACAGGTTAGAGTTAAGATATTAAAGTGTGCATGTGTTCAGATTGTATGTAGGTTTTATGATGTGTATTTTAAAAAGTCAAAAAACTTTTTAATATTTACAAAATTGTTCACTGATTGAAATTGTGTGAATTAATTGTGAAATGAAAATGGCAAATTTTTACTCATTTTGTTTCAGTTGGTATTAGCTGGACTTTTAGCAAGCTATTCAATATTTCACTATGGTACAATTATATTTACTTATATTTACTTTATAACTAGTCAATTATTTTCAATACAAATGTGATACAAAATACTGATATTTTCTTAAAACGATATTATGATATCAGTTTCTTTCATTACATGCCCCCCCCCCCCCCCAAAAAAACCTCATTGTATTATAAGAAATTATTAGCGTATTAAGGACATGCATGTTCAAATTATGGAAAATTTTCATTGTATAAAGCTATAACATATTGAAGCTTTTTGCTTCAGAAAATGGTCACAAAATTAAAATGTTAATAACACCAAACTTCTGGTTTAGGATAGGGCAGGACTTTAACCAATGTATTACTGTCATGACAATACAATGTTCCTGAAACACCAAACTGTTACTGTTAACATAATCAGGCCAACGAAGCACCTGAAAGGTTTATTATCATGAACTGGGAATATAAAGTAGTCCATGAGAGTGAGAGAAGTTTGCTTTTACATGTATTATAAGAGAATAATATAGACAGTCAAGTGATAAATTAGGTTATTGGACTAGAATATGTTGCCCATATAGGCAGTTCATTTTTAGTTTAACTGTGATCAGAATTTTTATATCTATGTTTCTGCTTGTTTATTTGCACTTTGAATGTGCAAATTTAAAGCTACAGATAGTAGTGTGTACCAATATTCTTATGATTGACAATAAAATTTCAAATTTTGGCCGAGTTTTTTTATGCCTCGGGATCAAAAGATCCCGGGGGTATATTTTTGTTTTGTCCTGTCTGTCTGTTGTCAACTTTAACCTTGCCAATAACTTTTGACTGGTTGGAGCTATGACTTTCATATTTCATATGTGTATTCCTTGAGACAAGACCTTTCTTTGGGTACCAACATTTTTTATCTTTTGGCCTGGATTTTGACTTGCATTTGAGAAACTTTAACCTTCGCCATAAGCTGCCATATGGGGGCATCAGTGTTTCACAAACACATCTTGTCTTCTTTGTAAAAAAGAAAATTCAGAAATAATGAGTTCACAAATTAAGTCTACTATTTTCTATAAGGAGGAGTCACAGTTCTCAAATCAATGGCAATTGAATAACTGCAGAGTCTGATTGTACAAACTGAGATTCTTTGATCCTCAGCCATATAAATTTCATAGTTAATTGTTATTTGCCAATATGTGCATTTTGAGTTCATGTTTTAAAATCAAACAAAATGATATGACTCCAGTGTATCATGGCATATAATAAACTTATGTACATGTATCACATTTGCTCATTTGAGATGTAAATTAATAAGGAAAATTGTTTGAATTGAGATTTGTGTAAATTAAGAATTGCGTCAAATTATATTGGAAGGTCAAACTCTCTTTGAACGTAAGTCAGATATTCTTCATGTTACCATTTACCCAGTCATTTCTAATTACCATGTTGTAATTGAAAGAACGCAATATTATTTCCAAGATACAAGCCAAATCTGTGATATAAACAAAACATGTCCTGATCAATAAGTTATCAAACATTGCTGAGGAGCAAACATCGTTAATTAAGACAATCAAATAGCTTTCATTACATCAGACAAAATTATAGGTGGCCTTTAGGGTCAGATGGCTTTTGGTGTAGCAATGAATTGAAATACAAGGTTCATGGGGGGTTGAAATGACTGTCTTTCAGTTTCTGAAATAATAAGTGCATGAAACTCCTTTTGGATGTATAACCATGCAGGTTGGGGTCATTAAGACTTGTGAATTATAGAGAGACATGGCAGTCAAGTATGTATAGGCTACATTGTATGTACAATGTCAGTGGAGACTGCAAATGTAGGGCATTTGACTTAAAATGCAAGGGTTATATTGGTTGAAATTAGGAAATTTACTTCATGGCCAACTACAGTTGATCTTGGTAGTTTAATTCCCTTTGTACTAATTTATCTAAATGAACCATAAATAATTATAGTTTCCCTTTTTTAAAACTTTATTCCAAATTTATTCTGATAACAGATTATTCTACCATACAGCCATGTGCTGGATAATTAAATGGTGTTCATCAGCAAAAAATTATATCATATTCAAGCATTTAAGTAAGATATGAGCCATTCATACAAAGCAAGTGCTTCACTATAATTTGTTGGCAACAACAGGGAATTTTCAAGTATAATGTTTTTACATTCCTCTTCAAAGTCTGGTAAACATCCAAAAGCACTTTGGCGAATGCAGAATTCTTCAGCTGCATCCACATCAGCAATGTCTATCTCCATCTTAAAATTGTGTGTATCTGCAGAATAAATACAAATTAAGGTTAGGAACATATCACAGTGACTTCTCTCCTTATCCACTCTACTTTATGGTCTATAGATTTGGCCAGTTTTGGTCTGGGACCCAATTTATCAAAAGGTTAACAAATGACATGAAGGTGATGGATAAGTGGTAGGGTGTATGCTTATATTTAGTTGGTCGTAAAATGTTTCAAGCATTATTTTAGTCATATATAATGATATCACACTAAATTATAATGTCTGGCACACTTTGGGATCCCCACCTTGACAAATCCATGAACCAGATCTGATACAATTATGATACCTAATAATACTTTATGCTAGACATAAATGTTAAATGAAAGGTGTGTGCCTTGTAATGAAATGGGGTCAAGTGTTTTACCAGTGGAAGAACATTTTAGAGTAATTCCTGAAAAATGGACCTTGGATTAAGAGGAGAAAAATTATTTACTAAGATTATCAATAATGTATTTATTTGACCTTGAAACTCAAAGCATTTAATCTTTATTCCCTAATGCACTAGGTTACATTGGACCAATAGAGAAAATTAAAGGCATACTCCAAGAGAAGTGGAATTTTTAAATTTTATACCTTAATTTGTAATTCTTTGACATATTGGACCTAGCTTAGTTAATTTTCTCAAAATACTCCATTTGTGAAGTACTGGTACATGCAATTATCGATATTAGAACAAATAAAAACACCAGACTTACTAACTGTAATTATCAACTTTGACCAAGCTAACATTATATTGCTATATACAATTTACCTACCCGGTACTTTGACCGAACTAACCTTATATAGCTATATACAATTTGCTTTGATCTTGATGTATGCAAATTAAAATTAGGAGAAATAAGACATATATTTCCTTAATTACCATATAACTCTGGAAGATAATACATCAAATCTGGTTTTCCACCAGGCAGTCCTGCAGACTTTGTGTGTCGAATTCTGTGTTGATTCCACTCTTGAGCACATTTATTTAGATCATCTTGAACAAGTTTTGTGAAACAGAATCGCAGACATTCCCTGTAATTAAGATGCAGTGTTCTTTTTCAGCAGAAAACTAATTTATGCAATTGTTTCTCTGTTTGGGATGCTCAAAATAAAAGAGACCCCTACCCCCTCAATTTAGATGTATAATTATATACATGCAGACTCTTGCATGCAAAACACTCGAAATTGAATGTTGCATATGATGCAATGCATGTACCGGGGTATGTATCTATAAGCTAATAATTGGTGATTGAGTCACAATTATGAAAGATATAATAACTCAGGAATAGATTGCCTATTATATATGAATTACTCCCAAAGTCAAACATCATGACCTATACATGGTTAACTTTCAGACATGCCAGACCTTCCACCCAACCGGGAAGATCTCTAAATTGAGGCGTAACAGTAATGTACTATAAGATCACAGCTCAAACCACACAGTCAAACAATTATAACCAGAGGCCCTGAGTGGCCACATTGCTCATCTGAGCCACCATGTATAGCCATATTTTAACTCTGATCAATTCAGCTTTATGGTATCGATTACAAAATATCTTGCCAATTTAGTCATCTACAAGATCATGTTTAAAAAGATCTTCAAATTTTTCTCCACATAAACATTGAGCCTATTTTGTCATTTCATATTTTTTCATATTTTTTAAAGATGGTATGGACACCTCCATATTGTGATGTACTGTACTTCCTATATTCTATAAACAATAAAATCGAGTATAATTATATACAAATTGTCTTTCCTAAAATTGTTATTTAACAACAACGTAGCGCAATGGGTTAGAGCGTTAACTGCCAATTTGTAAGTCATGAGTTCGAATCCCGCTGAGCCTAATTATGTGTAATTTTTACCTTTTAAAAATTTTTTTTTTTCATAAAATATTGCAGAATTTTAAAACGGTGAGAGTATTTTGATTACTATGTACTATTATCCACATTAATATCAACAGGTGTCCCAAACCACCTTAAAAATAGATTTTTCTCTATTTATTTCTATGTGAAAATTCAACCCCCATCCCCTCCATTGTGGCCCAACATTACCCTGGGGAACGATTTGAACAAGCTTGAATCTACACTACCTAAGGATGCATCCACACAGTAATAGGTTCAATATTGAAAGTCCTGATGCCATTGTCATTACATGATTACAACAAGTTAAAGCTTTTCTGGCCAAATGCTTTTGGATAAGATTTTTTAAAAGGCCTACAAATTTTCAATTACTTGAAAGAGGGTGTGGCTCTTCATTTTAACAAACTCTAAGGATGCTTTCTGCCAAGTTTTCTAAAAATTGGCCTGTGGTTCTGGAGAAGAAGTAAAAAATGTGAAAAGTTTACAAACAAACGTACGGACAGATACAGATGGATGCCGGACAGAAGGTGATCAGAAAAGCTCAATTGAGCTTTCAGCTCAGGTGAGCTAAAAATGATTCATTAACTGATCAGACCCTAGGCCTTGTAGAGTACTCAAGATAAGACCTATATTTAAACATGAAAAGGCTATAAGACACACAAAAAAAAATTTAACTTGTTTAATACAAATGCACATGCATATCATGAAATCAGGAAACTTTGTGGTTTCCCTGGGAAAATTCTTCATAATTCCTGTAAAATTTAGAGTTATAATGAACTCGTATATATTTTGAATTTCTTGATAATCATATAGAACTGATTTAGTCCTGTAGAGGTGTCATTTTAATTTAAGCATAACAATTAGTCATACATCTTTTATGACAAATTTTAATTAAATCTTACAAGTAAAAAAATTATTTCTGTACTTATTCATTTATATAAAAATCCTTCATCTTTGGTTTTTTATTGGTGATTTTAGGTTTCCAAAGAAGGTTTTTTACCAGTATTTAATACTTCAATGAGCATATTGACTCAATTTTAATATCATAGGAAGAAAAATGTGCATACTTTTGATTTTGCTGTACCTAATATACGACTTCTGTAAAAGGAAGGGTCTATATGAAAAGCAAACAGTGTTACATGTAAGCCACACTGTTGACAATAACCCATCTGTAAACCCATATCAATTTAAATTCTTAATTCCTTAATTGCAATCTTTTGGACAAAAGCAATGCAAGCATGCATATATATAGAGACATGAAATTTACATGGCCTCCATCACTATACCTCTTCATCACAAAGAATTAAATGGAAGTCCACATAATCAGTCTGGATTAATCCAAAATTGAAATTTTGTGTCTAGCATTTAAAATTTGAACATGCAATTTATGAGATCTATAGATCCTAGTATGAAAGTGTACTGTATCCATTTTTTTTTTTTGGTGAAAGAACTTACAGTTGAACATGGTTTGTGGTGGAAAACTTTCCTATGTGCTCTAAATTGCTAAAAAACTCAATCCAGAATTGTCCACCACCTTGTTTGTTTGACAACCACCATCGTTCTATTCTCTGAAGCGGAGCAAACGAGAACATTTATTGGGATTAGTTGTTTCATTTTTAATTCATATTACATACTGTTTAATTACAAATTATGTAAAATTAATTTAGACATATTAATGTTTATAATACTTGATTTGAAGGTGATGATCCTGTTAGAAAACTTCTCTCCCCAGCCATATCATCATCATGGTACCACCGAAAGGCCCGTTGAAAATCAGCTATGATACAGTTTTCTGTTCCTTCATCTGATCTGATACACCTAGGAACTCCTTTAATTCAATACATATTGATAGAGAGGAGGGTGGTTAAAACCATGCAGTCATTAAATTGACCATAAAAGCACTGATATACCGGTAACTGGTAATATGTTTATTATTTTAGAATCCCACTTTTAATTAGCACGAGAATAAATATATGCACAATTCACATGATAAGAGCTAGTGCATGGGTCTAAATCAATTCTATATATGCAAAAATTCATATTATCCATGTTTATAACCTTTAATTTTACAGCAATTATTAAGATATGATTAAAATTGTTGCTGTTAAGGCATATATTTTAAATCATATATTATAATCAATTAAACTTGCTGTATAAAGTTTATTTACTGTTATACACATTGTTTTCTATGATAAAAATCTCATAGATGCTTTGAGGAAGTGAAGAAGATTCATTGAAACTTCATCATAATGATTCTTTCATGGACCCAACATTATAAAGTCTACATACTCCATGAGATCATAAAAAAATCATATTTTATGTTCACCTATAGTTACTTTGCTTAATGCACTAAATTCAATTAAAGCTGATCCATTATTTCTTATGGATTAAGTTTTTACTTAATTGAAAGATAACAGATTTTTCAAACACAATTAACATCTACATTAATGTTTTTTCTTTAGAAAATGTTTCAAGTATTTCAAACTTGTCATAAAAATATGGAAGACCTTACCTTTAATTTCTTTTAAAAAATCCAAAAAATATGAAGCGATCACCCTGGGATCATTGTTTGATCTGCCTACTTTTAGCCACAACACACGCCTTGAAAATCTTTGAAAAAGACATGTGAGGAAATATTTTTAAAATAGAACAGAACAGTGTAAATTTTTCTTTATGAAACATACATTACCAAATATATGATTGCAAATGTGCTCTTTGGTCTTGACAATGAGCACTTTTACATATCAACCAAGGAATTGTATTAATGCACTGACAGCAAGTGTTTCAGTTGTGGCGAAAGCATTCTTGGCATGAAACTATTTCTTTTGTTACATATATTTTAATACTGGTAATATTGAAACATGTGATACATAACACAGAAATTTATAACACATACCCACAAACACATCCATGAATAGCAAATCCAAACCTCTTAAGCTTATCATACCCATCCACATGTAAAAGATAATTAGGTCCTTTGTTATGATATACTCTTCTCTTTAGACGCCTCTGTTTTCTTTCCAAAACACCAATAGGGTCCAATTCCTTTTGAATGGCTAAAACTTGTTCTCTTTATTCAAAATAATGATGGGCACAATTAAACAAAAAAAAAAAAAATCTGAGTTCACACTAAGCAAATTAATCATTGTATTCATGATTGCTTAAAAGTTGCATAACTTAACTTACAATGTTTCATCATTTTCTTCTTTGCCCTCCACCCTTATTATTTAGCATGCTGTACAAAAACTAACCTTGAAACCACAAGTCCATGATGTGATAAAAGACGACGCTGTAATCCACGACATCCAAGAGAAGAACCACTTCCCTGCAGTTCTTCCTAAAAGAATTCTATTTTTGAATACTTCTTTTTCATTTCATCATAATTATACTTAGAGAGAAGTAGTAATGTCACTTGTGTGGATATAACTATATATGCATGCATATCACAATTACATTTACATTTTACAATTACTACCATAGGATTACTTTAAATTACACTCTTTACTACATGTACATTATATTTACTCTGAAAATTGAATTTTTCATTTAAAAAATCATCAGATTTATTCTTTCAAAAATTAAGTATTGAAATATTGGAAACTTTATAATATGGTAAAATACAGAGCAACTAATTTGATTTCAAATAATATGCACTTTTGTGTGAATTAATTGAGAACATGACCATAAACTCTGACCTTGCTCCAACTTTATTCAATACAAAATAAGCATTAATTTCTATTAATTAACAACTGTATATATAAGAGCCAACTCAATAAGTTCAATTCAATTTCTTGTCAGTAATTTAAAGTGATTACAGACAAATTTATTTTTCACTTTTGTAAAGAGGATATTTGGAACCATTAATGATTAATTCTCTACTTCCAATTATTTTAATAATTTTAATCTTACCATGATAACACAAGATGCCTCAACAGTGTTTTGCAGCATCCGTCTTTTAAGTCCCATCATTGCCATTATCCTTTTCAGATGTCTCACACTGGATGTAAAAATTCAATCAATAAAAAATTGATATTTTGTTTGCCTTGGATATAAATTGTGCTGATCAATAAAACAAAATTTCAGAAATATTCTACTTTTTAACATTTTCTTAAAATTCAGTAATTCTGTCAGTTAATATGACTTGTGGGTTTTGGGTTTTTCATGTTTCTTTTCTCCCTCTCTCTCTCTTTTTTTAGGAGGGGGGGGGGCAAATTACAACATATTAGTAAAGTAATTGATTTCTCTCAATACAGTTAAAAATTTTGTGTCAAGCTTCACATTATTTACTAAATCAAAGCTAGGAAGTTTGCTTAAATGACATATGACTTCAGCTATATGTAATAGACATACATTTGCACTTCATTGTGTGATTTTATCTAGGGATAATTTCTTTAAATTTTTGTTTTTCAACAATCAATTGATCATTTTTATGGTTTGGATTAGTTAGTGATCACCAAACAAAGTTACTTAAAGTGCGGTCACTTGCAACAGGAAATTGTAATGCAATTAATGATTTATCAGGTAAAGAATTTCCTTCTTTTTTGTTAAAAAGTTGATTTATTTCAATTTTTTCCTAGTTCTTCTAGTTCCGAACTGGTGCTGACTAGAATCCACCCTGTTCTGGGCAGATCTATGTGAACTCTTCTTAAAAAGAAATACCCATAATAGAATATAAGAGTGTTCTAGAGGTTTCCTATTCAAAATAAATAGGTGTAATATATGACAGGCTGTAAAGTAACAATGTACACTTGAGTAATCACATTACCTAGATTTTGACTACTTGGCAGACCAATTTCAATTTTCAAATATTACATGTACCTTATTACTATTTTGTGTCGCAAGAGCAGGATACCACATATCTCCAGATTTGTGTATCCACCATAAAAGTATTCTCGAATGAGGTCTTCTCCTTTAATATCAATAAGAAAAAGAACAAATTATTATAAATGCAACTACTGACTACTGCATGGTAAAAGTTAAACTAAGGTAATTAATTTATCATTTAATTCCCCTTCTACACAAAATTACACAATCACAGGTGCTTGGGTCTTTGTTCATGTGTACGCTACCTTTATATCTTTTTATTTATTACATAATGTACATAGTTCATGTAGTTATTGTACATATTCATGAGCAAAGACCCAAGCACCTGAATACCAGATCGACTCTGTAATTACTATAATAGTAATATCGCTATATTCATAATATGTTAGATTTCCACTCCCTGGAGAAAGTTTATAATATATAGGTTGTTTTCAATTCCTATTAAACCATCAGTAAAATATATTTTAATTAAAAATTCATTAATAAAAGTTCATACAATTGGACAAGAGATATTAACTTACTACACGTATGAATTTGTAAATGTAATGATTAAATTCGGTCTCTAAGCTTTATAATTTCTAAATTTTCATTTGATTTAAAAAAAAAACCTTCTGTAAAACCATTAAATAGCATTTAAATACAGTGTAATATTTACGAGTTGTGTCCTCTGGGTTTTCTGACATGGTCAAAGACGAATATCCCTCCATTACACGTGTATTAGTTCAATCAGCATGCGCAGTCCGCATTTCCGTACACGACTTCCCTGTAGACTGTGAGTGCAAAGTTGTGTTAGCGAGTTGTGTGACAGCGCGACGGCGTGTTGTGCGAACTTGTGTTAGCGTGACAGCGCGTTGTGTGTTAGCGTGACATCGTGTTGTGCGAACTTGTGTTAGCGTGACAGCGCGTTGTGTGTTAGCGTGACATCGTGTTGTGCGAACTTGTGTTAGCGTGACAGCGCGTTGTGTGTTAGCGTGACATCGTGTTGTGCGAACTTGTGTTAGCGTGACAGCGCGTTGTGTGTTAGCGCGACGGCGTGTTGTGCGAAATTGTGTTAGCGTGACAGCGTGTTGTGTGTTAGCGCGACGGCGTGTTTTTCTGAACGCGCTGTTGAGCTTTTGCAAATGGCCCTATCCGGACACCATAATATGCAATGTTTATAATGCATTTGTTATAATTCAATATTCGTTTCATTAAGTACAAGTCTCTGTAAGAATCAGGCAAAAAGGTGAATCATGAGGGTTCTCAGAATTTGATGATTTTCAACACATGGGTTTCTCTTGTGCTATAAACCATGTATGCAAAGTGAAAAACGTTTTGGGTCATGGTTACTATGGAAACATATATATCTCATATTCTAATTTCTATGTAATGCATTGTGAAAACACTTTAAATGTTTATCTTTGCGATAAGAATAAATAAGAAGAAATTTTTAAATATTCACAATCAATTTCAAGCCATAAAGAATAGTGGTTTTTTTGTCCATACCCATGGAAAATTGACCGGTTGCTAGGGAAATTTCTTTTGTCATGTTTCCATAGTAACCATGACCTAAAACTTTTTTCACTTTGCATACATGGTTCATAGCACAATAGAAATCTATGTGTTGAAAATCATCAAATTCTAAGAACCCTCATGATTCACTTTCAAACCTACTTTGCCTGACTCTTACTGAGACATGCACTTAAGTTTTGCAGAATCTTGAAATAGTTTAGGAATGACTCTAATTCTTGGTCAAATTATTCGAGTATAACCTGGTTTGGGTCAGTTTACGCTTTATAATCCGCGAAGCGGATTATAAAACAGCGTAAACTGACCCAAACCAGGTTATACTCGAATAATTTGGCCAAGAATTAGAGTCATTCCTTATAATTTAATTTTAAAATCATTAAATAACTATGGGTGTAAAATTTCGTTACTTTTTATTAGTTCAAATTTGCCGCTCAATAATACAACCGTAGTAACGGAAGTAACGGAAGTGATGGGAATCGAGGGGAGGTAAAAACTGATATATAGGCCTAGCAGCCATGTTGTTTGGTTACATGTCGAATTATCGTTTGAAATTAAAGGTACATTTACTAAATCTGGAATTTTCCATGAATCCCGAGGACTGGAAATGAGAGGATTGTATGGATACAGATGATTTAGCTGGTTGTCAAGGGGGTGTGTCCCCATACCAAATCAGGTTATACAGAAATAATTTGTGTTCCTTTTTGAATATTAACCAATCAGAGGCTAGAATAGAAACAAAATTAAATTATTATGATATATTCTGGGACACACTGTATATTTTCCATGACATGCGTGACTTTCGTAAAGCTATGGTCAGCTGTCCAAAAACAACTCGACACTTACGAACCACGTACTTGCACATGGGAAGTAATGTTTGTTTCTTTGCCAGTTGATGTTAATATTATATTGAATGGTTTTATCATATTATATGACATGATTTGTTATTGAAATTAATATTTAAACTTTAAAATGTAAAAAATAAAATAAATAAATAAAGTATCTTCTTTTTTTTTGGCCCTACCATGTAAAGGTAGAAACCCGATCATTTGAACCTAGCACCAAAAAGAAGGTCTCAAGTCATTTACTAGATCTTGACCTTATAAAAATGTATCGTTATAATAAAAATTATTTTGTTGTGTTTTAACGTTTACACAGCAATCGGAAATATTGAAGATACATGTTGAAAAAAGATTAATTTGGAAAATAATTCAAAAATTCCTCAACAAAAAAGGGAAATACAGGTGACTCTCGATGGCTCGAACTCCGATCTCTCGAAGTTCTCGATCTCTCGAAGTGAACCTCCGGTCCCGTTTTTTTTTCCTCTATATAACTAAGCAAATTTACTTCCGATCTCTCGAACTTCCCATCTCTCGAAGTTCTCTATCTCTCGAACCAAGACCTGGGTCCCGTTACACACATTGCATTGTTTTTTACTCTCTATCTCTCGAAGTTTTGATTGTGCTTTGTACACGCCAATCAAGCGTGAAATTAATGCAGCTTGGACTTACCTGGATAACAGTGAACGCCTGGGGCTGGCATGGAGGTGTTAATTGGGTGTTTACATAGATGACACTATACCTGTGAGCATCTGAGTGTTGATATAAATAATTGGTTATAATTGGTAAATTATAAACGAATTGCTTCACAACTTATTTTTGACTTGACAGCGCGACGAAAATTTTTAGAAAATAATTTAAGAGGCGTGTCAAAATTTTCCATAAATTATGAAGTTTTTATTAGAATGTACATAATCCCAGTATGACAAACATTGCACAAGAAATCCTATCTCAAGAATTAAATACCGATTTAATACGAGAAATCTGTTAAAGTACCCGATCAGGCCCGGGGTTAGCCACACCGACGATTGATATTCAGATTTTATGTAATCATGAAATGGGAACAAATAAATATTGAAACTTAAAGAGATCGTTTTATCTATTCAAAATACGATCATTGTTGTTGAAATCAAGTGAATTATCTGTAAACTACGAATGAAAACGTGCAATGCTATTATCAACATATACTTCCGGTATTTATAATAGTAGAACAATGATGATCGGAACTGAAAATTCCGGATTTTATTCACTTTCTATCTCTCGAACCCCTCGATCTCTCGAACTTTTCTTGCGGTCCCTTGAACTTCGAGAGATCGAGAGTCACCTGTATCTGCATTCATGGAATATTGTAGATGTGTTATACAATAAATATAACAGATAAATCACCAGCGGGTTGGTCCACTGTGAGAGAATATGAAAGTGACGACCTCGCCTCCAATTCGACGAAAAGCGTATGCGTCAAGCGGAGAATAGAGCGCTCCGGGTACTCAGAGAGAAACGAAGATTCAAGCCTTATGCTAACAGGAATGCATCTGCTACGATTTCTGTTCCTCCTGACCGTAGCCCTCCTCCTCCACAGCAGCTTTTTCGTTTCTCAAGGCGCCGCGAAGCATCTCCTTACGACATCTGTTTCAACTGTCGAAAATACGGACACTGGAAGTCACAGTGCACAGCATCTCCCAAACCAAGCACCCAAACTCAGAGCACAAGCAATACAATCGCCCAATAAATCAGTTGAGAAGTATGACATTTTTCTTGAAAATTCAATATTGAACAAGCAAATTGATTTATTTTTGAAACAAGTAGATTATTTTGACAAATTACCTGTCAATGGCAAAGGTGTTAAAGGGAATTTAGTTAAGCATGTTGAATACTGGAAAAGTATAGGTGCCAGTGATTTTGTTATTGATACCATTACTAACGGTTATGTAGTTCCTTTCCAGATTGCTCCGCCTCCAATGAAGTTCAAGAATAATAAGTCAGCTCTTCAAAATGTTGAGTTTGTTAATAGTTCCATTTCAGATCTGTTAGAAACCGGATGTATCGAGGAAGTTCCTTTTCAGCCGTTTTTTGTTAGCCCACTCAGCGTTGCAGTTAATAAAGGGTCGGGTAAAAAGAGGCTTATTTTAGATTTGAGCGCATTGAATAAATTTGTAGATAAAAAGAAAGTAAAGTTTGAAGACTGGAACGTGGCCATGAATTTTTTCAAGAAAGATTGTTTTCTTTTTAAATTCGATTTAACGTAGGTCGCGGGTTTGCTGACGTCGTTAAAACTGGGTACGCAATTTATATGATTTGGGCGACTTTCTTGTGCACATTTGATTATGACGTCACAATAAAAAAGAAATCTGTGATGATTTTTTTTCAAAAATTCTGCAGTATATCATTATTTAGCTATAACTTTTCTTGGAATTGGTAGTTTAGTGTTATATTATTTAAACAACAAATTATCACAAATAATGAAGGCTTTTTACGATTTGTATAGTCGATACAATACGTAGATAAAACTTTTGTTGGAATTGGTAATTTAGTGAAGAAGGCTTATAACGATTCGAATGACACTTGAAATATTAAAAAAAGTTTGATTATTTAAGTTATCAATCGCATCTTCTCGGACCTTTCCTCCAAGCTTGGAAAAACAAGTGGTTGTTTTTCGGCTTGTCGGAAAGGCCCGAGAAATTGCGATTGATTTGTTTTCACTTGGAATCGCGAAACGATATGGACACAAGGTTCAACTGACTTTTTTTCCTTTGATCGTTTTTGAATTATCAGTTTGTTTTATTAAGAAAGAAGCCATTATTTTTTTTAAAAAATCACAAATACACCTGTTACATCAAAAGATTACACTTTATATTTAAACAGGATATTTTTTAAAAAAAAAATATATATATAGATGTACAAGAATAATTAAATACTGCTAAGGTACGATGAAACATTAAGACAATTTTTTTTAGCGACACTGACCTCCTATTAGGGGACAATATTTGATTCTGAGGGAAGGGGGGGGGGGTAATACTGCTAAGGTACGATGAAACATTAAGACAATTTTTTTAGCGACACTGACCTCCTGTAAGAGGACAATATTTGATTCTGAGGGAGAGGGGGGGGGGGTAATACTGCTAAGGTACGATGAAACATTAAGACAATTTTTTTTAGCGACACTGACCTCCTGTTAGGGGACAATATTTGATTCTGAGGGAGGGGGGTTTGGTTGGGGGTTGGTGGTGGCACATTTTACCGAGTCAGATTGTTTATTTTCATGTCGGTGAAGGACAGATTATTTATTTCCAATAAAAATAAGGACAGATTATTTATTTTTTCTTCATTGAAAAAAGTCTGACAAGCATAAAAAAAGAAAGAAAAACATCAAAGTTGAAAAATCCCGTGGGGGGGGGGGGATGCTAGAACTAGTCTTGGACAGATTATTTATTTTCTTGCCCAGTCGAGGAGAGATTATTTATTTTCAACATTTTCAAGGACAGATTATTTATTTCCAAAATCTGTAAGCCCCCCTCCCCCCCCCCCCCCCCTGAAATGATCGTCCCCTAAGCAACAGCTTGCAATGCTGTTACCTAAAGATTTTATTCGCTACTTTGCTTTCCAAGTCCAACAAGTAGAATTAATGTTCTAAAAAAAACTGGCTGTTGATTACGTCAGATAAAATTAATTTTTAATTTTAATTTTAATTTATTTCACGAGTGGGACAGGAGTTTTTGATATTTTCACGAGTGCGAAGCACGAGTGAAAATATCACAAAAATCCTGTCTCACGAGTGAAATAAATTCCATATTCATCTACAAAACATTGAATTTTCTGTTTATTACATTTTCTTTGATTTTCTTTTTGCCTCTGTCTTTTCTTATCACAGTGTCATAGGCTTGACGTCATAGTTGAGCGGTTGAGACGTCATAGCTTAGCAGTTGTGAGATTGAAAACATTACATAGCATG